GAATTCGAGCGTTGAGAGAGAGCGCCACTATAACTTTAAGCCCCATCTATCTTTTTTATCCTTTCAAAATGTTAGTCATATATCGTTCTGAGACGATTTAACAACAAGTTAATCATACTCTCTCTCTCTCTCTCTCTCTCTCTAAATTCAATCTCTCTCTTTTCAACCCCGACATAAAGAGAGAATGCCAAGGGTGAGGGGCAGGGGAATTTTAAATAATATTTAACGATTGGATTGAACGATCTCAAAAAGTTTTGTCATTTTGCTGATTTATGTTGTATTCGATCCTTTTTGAGATCGTTCAATCCAATCGTCAGTAATCGTTTTTATCAATTTTCATCAATGTTATTTTTAAAATAGTCAATTTTTGAAGCTGTTAATTTTTATAAAATTATGCGCTAATTATTGGTTTTTAAACCTAATTTTTTCACTTTTTGTATGTATGTAATGTTTGTTTTTGTGTGTGTGTGACCTTGCGAACGTATGTAAATTTTCTTTAATAAATTCTCTCTCCTCTCATTGCAATACACATTGAAACGCGTGCACATAACATTTGGACATCACACACACACACACATTTATTTTTTTAAACACACATACATACACAAATACATATATATTATATATTTATATTATATATATATATATATATATATATATATATATAAAATCACAATATAAATGTATTGTAATTGCATGAAATGGGGTGGTTGATGTTTGTTGCATTTGACTATTTGTTCATTTGTAATTTTTTAGAAATTGATAATATCTTTTTTAAATTAATAATAATAATTATTTATAATAATTTTTATGCAAATTGAAAAATATTTTTTTTTTTATAATTCGATTCATTCTCCGCCTACAGGTAGAATTGAACAAGAGGGGTAAAAAAGTTAATCATTTTTTTTTCTTTTTGTTGTCCTGGTTGGTTGGTTGGTTTTGTAATGCAGGATGCATATTTATATTATCAGCAAATCCTTTAAATTTATATTTTCTTTTATTTAATCTTAAATTTAAAAAATGTATGAAAATTTTTTGAATTGATTATTAACTTATTAATATTATTATTATTATTATTATTATTATTATTTCCTTTGATTTCTGGCGTTTAATTTTTCTTTCCGTCCCGCTTTGGTTTTATGGTTTTCAACCTTTGGCTTTTCATGAATTTTTACTGACAAAAAAAAAAATTCATTTTATTATTATTATTATTATTTGTATATGTTGTTTCCTTATTTGTTTCCTGTAGAGTCGGGTCCAAACTATGACCTTTAAGCCCCATCGTGAATTGGAAAGTTTAAATTGATAGCACTTTTCTTAGTAATGGGATGTTCCTAGTAGGGCGAATCTGGGCAACTTGTATGTATTGATTTACCTGGGAAAAAGTTAAATCGTCCATTTTTTATATATTACGAGGTCCAGAATGAATATATTATAAAAACTGGTACATCTTTCAGTTTTTCTTCCCCACATTATATGCTAATTTCGAATCCAAATCCTTGTATTTAGACAATTTCTCGATAATGGAGGTTTTTATCTCAGGATATACTGCTATGCCAATAAGTATATTTATTTTAAGAATTTCTTGTAAATATTTAATATCAGGTCTGTTATTTTTATTTCCCTGCCAGTTTGAATTGGGATGTCCCAGAGGATAGTTACACCGTTTTCGAAAATATAAATAAATATTTACTTCATGAATTCAAAAGCGCCCTACAAGGCTGGCATCCCGCTCTCATAAAAAAAAGCACTGTAGAAACTTTTAAATGTAGCCGTCTCTTCTACCCCAACAGCTTCATACCTCGCACCTCTCGCCTGTGGAACACCCTTCCCTATTACTGTTTCCCTTTTGCTATAATCCCCAACTATTCAAATGACACAATACATTTTTACTATCCTCATCTCAAGTTAAAACCCCTGAAAATATCTATCCATATCCCTTGCAAAAAAAATTGTCATCCTAGATTCTATCGATCTCCTATCTATCTTAATTCCATAAAGGAACTCTGATAAAAAGATGCATTTATTTCACGCCTTGTTCAGGCGTAATTTTAAAAAAAAAAATCATCTTTTTTTCTGGTTTAAAATCAAACCAAAAATCTCAGTGGTTTTAATTCATATTATTAAAATTTTTGTTATTTTCTGAAGTCAAATATTTCTCTTTATCAGGAATTTTAAATTTTTTGATGAAACACTTTTTTATTTTTCCTCTGTTCATTTAAATTAATTTTTAATTTTTATCAGCCTCAAAACTTTCAGCTTTTTAAAAAATATGTTGTATTGAAAATAAATCTACAAAAAAAAATAAATATTTACTCACAAAACAAAACAAACTTTTCTTTTTGCTTTAATCAAAATAAAACTTCTTAATTTTTTTTCTTGAATATAAAAAAATCTTATGAATTTCTCTTTGAGAAATTATCATGACGATCTAACATAATTTTATCCATGTCGGAACCTGGGTAACAATAGTTGTTGTTGTAAATTCTGCATTAACATAAAATTCATTGGTTCAAATGACTGGTTTCTTTTTTTGAGTCCATATGGTATTTGAAAAAAAACTTTTTAAGGTAAATAATTTGAATATTTTAAAAATGTTATAAATCAAATTTCAAAAATGTAAAGCCTTTAAAATGATTACATCCGTTGTTTTTTTTTTTTTTCTTCTATAGAATCTCAGGTCAATAATATATTTTAGGGTTTCTTAAATAAATTTTGCTTATAAATTGGAATGTAACAAATATTTTATATGATGTGATTTCTTAAAATTTAATAAAACATTTTTTTTAAATTCGAAACTGGAAATTATATTTTTAAAAAATTACAATTATCCAAATTTGTCATAAATCATTTTCTATTTAATTTATATATATAATAAAAATTAATTATTTATTTCACACATTTGGGTTGTCATTTCAAATGACCATAAACCTTTTTTGAAAAACTCAATTTACAAAGAAAATTTATGTAAATCTGTTTAACGATTTTTCAAATCATTTTTTTTTATAATAAACATTTTTTACTTTTTTTGGTTTTGTTTATTTTATAAAAAGATAATATTTCTTTTCATTATGATTCAAATTCATTTTAAATTGATATTTCATACAACATTTTTATGATAGCCAAAAAAATTTTAACCCGCTTATTATTTATATAATTCTATAATTCTGCATTAATTGGTTGTTTTATACCCCCAATTTTTAATTTATTTTGTTTTTCCATATTTTAATTACGTATGTAAAAAAATTGTCTCCAGCAAAAAATTTGACAAAATTTTATTTTTACCTATTTCCATGTATTAAAATACTATTAATAAGCTCAATTGTCATCAGGTTGAACCTGGGAACACCATCCAACGATGGTATTTGATCAATTTTCCATGTTGTTATGACGCTAAATAATTTGTTTGAAATTTGGCTGTCTCTCCATCAAAGCGTTGCGATCAAATGCAAAATTTCCGACGTTCTCAAAATATGTTTAATTTCGGCAGTGAAATAATTGAAACGTGGTATAATAATTTAATAAGAGCAGAGCTTGTTTTTCCAAAGACTGAAAGTGATTTCGATTTTTTTTTTTATTTTCTTTTCTCAGCTACAGGCAAAAAAAATCCATTTTTCATAGTGAAGGATTTTATTTAAACCTTTAATTACAAACATTTCTGTCCATTACATACAGACGTACAATAGCTAGATGTAATAATAATAATTAAGGTAATATATAATAATCGTCCAGAATTTTCTGTTGTGGACGACGAGGGAAAATTTTTTTTGTTTGTTCTTCCTGTGAATAAGAATCGCTTATCGCCAATTTGTTTGTGGATTCCAAAAATTGATGAAATGAAATCTCAAATGAATGACAAACGCAGGAATGAAATATAACAAATAAATGTATTGACGTAATAATACAATTTTAATACGGTTAGTAGATCCAGAAATGCGGTTAGTAGCAATCATAATATATATACAGTCTGGGAAATTCAGTATCGAAAAAGGACTTCCTTCTGAGTCTACGTAATAACTGTGACTCCTACAAAGCAATTACCTCACAATGGTCTCACTCTCTGAACTTCTTTTTCCAGGTATTCACCGGCAGCAGTATAAGTACACACTAAGCGAGTCCACTTGTATAAAAATGGGTGGACCCCTTAACACATAGTGATCATAATCGTCCAGACATAGTGATTAAACTGAATGTGTTTTCTTATTGACAGACTAATGTATCGTTGAAGATCTACAAAAAAACGTATCAAAATACAAGGATCTTGAAGTAGAAATCTCTAAAAATGTGGCACATGAAGACATCAGTAATTCCAATTGTGATTGGAGCACTCGGTTTGATTGGGAAAGGTTCTGATAGTCTCAAAGAAGGGATCCCTTGTAGCCGATACCTTAAAGAAATACAAAAATATTCTTCTCACAAGTACAGCTCATACCTTACAAAAGATTTTATCAATGTAAAATGTGAGTGCTCTTAGATTCAAAATGGTCAGTGAAAATGTCATGATGCCATTTCTGACCTTAGGTCTCTGGTTGGGACCCGGAAAGAAATGAGTATACAACAGAAATCAAAGAAAATAATAATAATAACAATAATAATAATACAATTAAAAATACGTGAAAATTGCGAGAAATTATTATTTTTATGCACGCAGAATTACTGTCAAAATGTGCTAAATATGTCACTAGTGTTGAAATATTCAATAAATCAGTAAAAGTACAATGGATTTATCCTCTTGACCGAAAGAGTTTCGTGTCAAAGAGGATTCTAAATTAAAATGCTGTTACGTTTTTAACGAAACGCCAACGTGGTAAGAATTTCAAATTTGAAATTTATTATTTGCCTTCGTTCGGGATTGGTTAAATACGAGGTCTGATAACAGTTTTAATAGATTTATCGAACTTCTGACACTGACGAGTGTTTTGACGCGAAACTCTGGAGTCAGTCAAGAAGTTAAGTCTATTGAACTATTACTGATTTAATGAATATAGCTGACTTATCACGTTGAAACACCGATTCTCTTACGATCACTGAACTTAAGCAACGTCGAACCTGGTCAGTACCTAGATGGGTGAACTCTTGGGAATACGAGGTGTTGCAAGCTTGGGTGGGCGATTAATGTAATGGATAACGACTCTGAGATTTTAGAGACGAGTTCCAATTCCAGTCATTTTTGTTATATTCACTGACGCGCAAATAACCTTCGGAAAGGTATAAATCCACCTCTTCTCCCACCAGCTATGGGTTAATTATAGGATTTGCATTAGTAAATCATTATCTCCTAAAAGATTCTTACAATCTTTAGATATTTTCTGGCTTCAAATAACCTGCAAAAGGTTGATAAGCCGTAAAAACAATCAATCGGTCAATATTGAATATAACTAATTTTATAAAGTTATAAATGTACATTATTATTATTGATTACGCATTGTACGTACATAAACATATAGCTTGAAAATGAACAAAAAATTATAAAATGTAAAATGAAACAAAAGTTGAACTTTTTAAAAATATATATAAATATTATATATATATATATATATATATATATATATATATATATTTGATGTATGTATCTTTATTTGACTGATTACTGATACAATTTGAGGGTAATTTTAAAGCCAGTGCACCAAGACTTTTAATTTTATAAATGAAACTTAATATGATATAAAATAACAATAGGTTGGATTATAGTGTCTAGCTTCTTTACTTCCCAAAATTAATCACCCCTCGTCCCTAAAATCCTTTTTCATTACTGAAAGAAAGAGACAGTGAAAGAAAGAAACAGGCAATAAATGACAGAAAAAAGAGGCAGTGATTGAAAGAAAGTAAGAAAGCCTCAATGAAAGAAAAAAGAGGTAGTAAAAGAAAGAAAAAAGACAGTAAATGAAAGAAAGAGGCAGTGATTGAACGAAAGAAAGAAAGAAAGAAAGAAAGAAAGAAAGAGGCAGTGAAAGAAAGAAACAGGCAATAAATGACAGAAAAAAGAGGCAATGATTTAAAGAAATTTGAAAGAGAAATTTAAAGAAATAATGAAAGAAATTGAAAAAAAAAAGAAAAGGTGAAAAGAAAAGACAGAAAAATAAAAAAAAGAAAAAAAGGTGAAAAAGAAAGAAAGAAAGAAAGATTGGAAAGAAACAAAAAAGAATAAAAAAAAAAGAAAAAGGCAGTGAAAGAAAGAAAAGGTAGTGAAAAAGGTTTAAAGGAAAATTAAGTGGCAATAGTTTGAAAAAGGAAATAAAGAAAGGGACATGTACAACAGAAAAAAGATATGTGCTCGAGAGAAAATTTAAAAAAAAATCAAAATAAAGTTCATCAAATAAATTTTCAAAAGGGATTGAAGACGCGACTAAAATAAAAAAAAATAAAAACCTGAAAATATTATGATATATAAATTTATATATATAAATTTATGTCTTATGTGTATTACATATATGTGTGTGCACTCTTAATTTATATAATTGCATAAAAATGGATTCAAATAAAATTTTTAGTGTATACAGTTCTATTTTTTTTTTATATTTCCACGTTTATTTTAGAAAAAAAAATTCGAAATAAATTAAGGACCTGACGTGAGGATGCAAATGAAATTCTTGTTTTAAAGAATTTTTTCCATTTTATGTGTTATGGGGAGATGAATTGAATTTACCGAACGAGAACTTCTTTTCTCAATGGAGGTGAAATGCTTAATAAAAATTTGAAGTTTGAAAACATAATTTCCGATGGAATTAACAAAGCAAAATTTTATCGTTACGTCTGCCTTTTTTTTTATTGTATGATTTACAGGCTCTCTTCTTTTTTTTTATGTAAAATGTCCTTTCATGGCGGATCCTTTTTTTGGTTTCAGACCTTTTACTTCTATCCCCTGCAGATCTCAGCAAGCTCCTTCCCTCTGCTTCCTCCCCCAGACGACGTTCTGTCATCCACCTGCTAAAGCTCGTCAGGTATATCAAGCGCCGCTTTCCCTTGTCTCTCTTTCCATTTATTTGACCCGTGAGTATCAGATTCTCCAGACCCTCCTTCCTCATTATGTGTCCCAGAAACTTCAGCTGTCTCTTTCTGATGTTAAGTATAAGCCTTCTCCTTGTTTGTAACCTCTCTGAGACTTCATCGTTGCTCACACGCTCGGTCCAGGATATCCTTAACATCCTTCTGTAGAACCACATCTATGTCGCCTCGAGACTCTTCTTCATCTTTGAGGAAATCGTCCAACATTCGCTGCCGTAAAGAAGGACAGATGTCACGTAACAGCTCAGTATTATTTTTCTTTGTTACCAAAGAAATCCTCCTGTCTCGTAATACTCTGTTTAGCTTTTGAATTAACTGTCTTTGCATCATTTAAATACCCAACGTATCTCAAAGTCCACTAAGGCCGTCCTTCATTTAAACGCTTCCCAGATTATTTAAACTTCCGCAAACTGTTTGATTCTCCGTGGGGTGGCTCATATGACCCAAAAAAATATTTCAAATTCAACTTTTACTTTTAACCATGCAAATTCTGGCTTCTTGTATTTTGTACTTTCCTTCTTTATCCGAATCTCGATACCTTCTGTAAGAGATTTTGTAATTTCTCTTCCGTGTCTGCTATCATCCTACTGTGTCACTGCCCTATCTTATGTTTTCCAAACTGGGAAAAAATTAAAATTTTTTTGGAAACAATTCTCCAGGTATTGTCAGTAAACAACTTTGTTCAAGCAATTGCAGATGCTCATTTACCCATTTTCCGGAAAAAGCAAAAAATACAGAAAGACGACGAATAAAGATATGGAAATTTTCAAATGATACATTCATTTATTCAGAACAAAACTAAAAATAATAATCTTTTTAAATTTTACTGGTCATGGTATTTTCTTTTACCACTCCATTCTTTTCATTTCTTTTCTGAAATGTCTTACACACTTCCAATACATAAAAAACGACCGGCTACGTTCCGAATGCAACATTGACTTTCACCGACTCCCAAATCAAAAAAATCAGTCCAATCTAAATAGTGACAATAGATGAATTTTCTGTTGAACCTTCAGAAACTTGATGTCCGTTATACAATATTTTTTTAACATTCCGCATGATCAAAGTTCTCCAATGGAATGAGCAAAGCTACCATGATGACAAGTTAGGGATGGAGTCAATGAAACAGGTTAAAAAAGTTGGGATTCATCAGGCAATCCATTGGTGAGATAAATCAAAACAAAAATCTTCTAAATCGATTAAATCATCAATGACATTTTTATTCATATGGATTCAAAGAAATGATTTAAATGTTTAAAAAATTTTTTAGAAATTCTTTCAAAGAAATCACAGAAAAATTTTATAAATTTTTAATATGATAAATGGGTTAGGTGCCTGATTATAATTTCAAACCAGTTTTTCTCATATTTAGAAATATTTGTTGCTTTATTTATTTACAGAATAAACCCTAGGCCATGTATAATGCTTTAGCCATTTTTAAAGGAAGGCAAGATGATCAAATCAAATTTTAAGATTAACCAAAAGAAAGGATGTCAAAGACTTTTGAAAGAAAAACGATTAAATGATTTTGAAAAAATACAACGTTGAAGAAAGGTTAAGGGGAAGTATTTTTCGTTGAACTGGTTTGAACTTTTTTTCTTATTTTTTATAGTCATGATGTGTTATAATAAAAATAAGAATAAACTGTAGTGAAGGTTCGGTCCAATAATATTTTAAGAAGGAAATTTTAACTGCAAATATAATAAATGCCTCAGGGTTGCCATATAAATTCTTAACTTTATATTACCATTTTGCGCTGGATATATTTATAAAGCATAGTTTAAAATAGGCTATGGAAATAAAAATTACAAAAACAAAACTGTTCTTCTTTCAAATAATTACAAAAATGAAGCTTTTCCAAATGTAAAACCTTGCATTCAATTTCTGGTTTTAATTTTTAAGAACACTAGACTAATAAAATTTTGGCTTGAATAAATATATTCATTTCCAAGTTTATTTCTCATAAAAGATATAAAATTAGATTACGCTTTTGTTCGAATCTCATGAAACACTTCAACTAAATTTATTTATTTAGAAAATTGATATAATTTATATAAAAAAAGTCGCCAAATAAATTGAACCCCTTTAAGAATACATTGAATTTAAACGACCCATTGTAAATAGAAGAACCTAAATACGCTTCAATTGACCATCATAAAGACTGTTCAAAATAGAACCCCATTAAATAAGGTTGAATAAATCTGTTGTTTTTTATTATATTTTTTTTTTCGTTTTTTTTAGTTTTATCAATCAAAATTTTTTTCAATCGTTAGAGGTCTACCGATTGGTTCCTTTTTATTATAAACAATTGTCTTGTAAATGGAATACCTAAAGCATTCTGTAAAAAAAAATTGTTTTGATTCTGCCACTACCAAAAAAAAAAAGGAATTTATTGAAATCTGGACAAATTTTTTTGGATATACCATCCCATATATAAACGAAGCACAAACACTTCATATTCACCTCTGATTTTATTTGGATAAGTATGAATTTCGATCAAATTTTTTTCTACCATTATCTTCGTGATAAACTTAAGTCTTTTTCATATTTTCTAAAACTAAAAAAAAGAAAGTAGCATACAGAAAGAAAATCAACTATATATTTCAAATGTCATGCCTTTTAGTACGTCCGACACGGCATTCCACAATTCTGTTTAAAAAACGTTATCTGAATTGCCATATATTCTTCGAAAAGACAGGATAAATAGATATCCCTTCAGGATTTGGGTTTTATAATAAGTCAACATATTCTGTTTCTGATGGGTACATAAGCACAAAGCTAAATATTTCAAAGTCATTCTTTTTGGACATTTCTAGCGTTTCTTTTTCAATTCAGAATAAGAATAAACAATTAAATAATGTCCCTTCAGAATTTGAGGAATTTGTTATTGTTAACATATTCTGCTTCTTTAGTTTTAAGCTCTGACTTGGCCCAAATCACTTTTCATTCCCTCTATGAATTATTTTTTTTTTTTATTAAAAGAAATAATTTAAAGTGATCTTTAAATTTTGGCCTTTCAGAATTTGATAAAGAATCAAACTATCAATATATTCTGTTTCTTCAGTACGTAAGGAATAGTTTCTTCACAATTTTATTTTGATTCTTACTGGCTTTAACTATTTAATTCTTGAAAAGTCAGAACAAACCAGATTATCAAGGGCTTTTCAGGATTGGTTTACGGAATTACTTTTTTTTTTTTATAATTTATCAACCTTTAAGCGATCATAGCTCTCCAGACATTCCGTTTCATTGTTGTTGTAAAACTTTTTGGAAATTTTATAAAAAAACTGATTTGAAATAATGTAATAAATTCAGAATATAGAGGATAATGGCCCTCGACATATTCTGTTTCTTCAGTACGTAAGCTGTCCACACATTCCATTTCATTCTTGCCTGTGAATTTACCTGACTTCTTGGAAAAGACAAAATGAGCCATGTATATTAAAAAATGTCCCTTTTTCGTTATCATTTACGACTCTCCTTGAACCTTTTTTTTAAATACGGCAAGTGATCATAGCTCTCCAAACGTTATGGTTCATTCCTGTCTGCGTACTGTTATGAAAAAATTTTTTTGAAGGTACTGAAAATATCAACGTTTTCTAGTTAAGTGAGGATCTCGAAAACCCTATTCTGTTTCTTGATTAACAGCATTCCTTAACTCTACATACATTCAGTTTCATTCTTGTCTGTCTGTTAGTTTGGCCGTTCAAAAGACAGAAATTAATCTCATGAATTTCAACATGACTTCTGGGAAAAGAAAAATTAATTAAAGATGTCCCTTCAAATGTATCTGGCTATTTTCTTATTTCTTATTCTTTTACAAAAGTCAGATGCAGTCATAAAAATGGAAAATGATGTTTCATTCTTGTCTGTGAACTACTAAGACATTTTAAAATGATAAGCTTTCAAAATGATAAATAATGTCCATTCAGAATGTATGGTTCACATTCTTCCAATTTAGAATTAAAAATCACAAGAACTGTTTTCATTCTTATATATTTCTATTTTAATGACCTTCTCATTGCTAAGACAATAATCTAAGTGTTATGGGATTGTCACATAAATAATAATGGACCCCATTTGCAACATAAAGTAGTAAGAAAGGAAATTTTCATACCGACTGCACTTTAAAATCTTCCTAAATTACTTTCTTGAACTGGCTTTATCCAGGAGGCTTTTCCAGACAAAAATCACTACATTCTTGAACCTTTTCAAGTCAGCTTTTAACCGAATATTTTCCTAGTTACCTTTGAATTAATTTCCTCCATGCAATTTAATGTCTCATTCAGGTAATTAATTTTTTCCAAAAATTCTTTTGCTAAAATTGGTGAACTCTTAGTTCCTATTTAATTAAACGAAAAAGATATTAAACAGCCAATTATGGCTTGATTTCACTGGAAAAATTTAATCTTAACCTGTTAATATTTTACCAAAATTTTTTTTTTGGAAATTAAAATATCTGGGAAGTGTTTTTTCAATTGTCACGTTTATAGTGACATTGAAATCACCCTCGTTTATTGAGATTGAATTTTTTTTCTTTCAAGTTTTGAACCAACTGAAATGGTTGTAGAAACGTTCCAAAGGAATATACGAACTGATTAGGTGATATCTGTCATCCTCTATGGCAATAAAAAATTGTACAAAATTAAGAAATGTGGTTCTACAGAAGGATGATGGGGATACCGTGGAGAATCATGTATAAATCATAAACAAAAAAAATTTTGTTAACATCAGGAAGAGAACCTTGAATCATTTTGGAATTCTTATTAATAGGAATGAAGGATTGAAGGAAATTGAAATTCAACAGTCAGATTGAAGGCTAGAAGGATTTGAACAGAAAATACAAACATAATGGAAGAATCTAATTTAATTTAATTTTAAATTAAAAAAAATAAAACATTAATTTTACAATACCATTTATATTCAATTTAACCGATATATATATATAATTTTCCATTATAATTATAAATATAAATTTTAATAAGGGCAAGTCTCCTTCAAAATTAACAATATTATTGTTATGGGATCTTACCCATAATAATAATAATGGACTATTCCATACTTAATAAATACTGCGCCTGAAGGCAAGGAAATCAGGGTGGTAGTTCAAGTCAGTCAGTAGTTCAAGTCGAGTCAAGAGTCGAGTCAGAGGCAGTCCGAAATAGAGTCGCGTTCAGACAATTACTGCAAGACATTGGAATAGTGATACTGGTCGAGACTACATTGTTCTCTCTACTAAACCTGATTGTTCATACTAATACTTCTACTTCTCTGTATATATTCCTGTTTGTAATATATCTGTGTTATTCCATACCTGTGTTCGAGTTCTTCTTTATTGGTTCTACCTTGGACTATCACCGTGGTACAAGGAACCGGACCATAACACTAAGTATATTAAATAATATCCTTTCAATATATAGTTGATCACGGCCGTCCACATATTCCGTTTCTTCAGTACGTAATCTATCGTAGCTCTCCGCACATACTGCTTCATTCTTGTCTGTGAATTGCCATGACTTCTTGGAAAAGACAGAATGATCTAAAGTACATTAAATAATGTCCCTTTAGAATGTTGGAGTCACGTCCTTTAGCATATTCTATTTCTTCAGTACGTAAGCGGTCATATCTCTCCACAAATTATTTTCATTCTTGTCCGTGAATGGCCATGACTTCTTGAAAAAGACAAAACAGTATGTAAGGGTCACGAATATCTAAATATTTTGTTTCTTCAGTGCGTAAGCGATACAAACATTCAGTTTCAAACTTGTCTGTGAATTACCATGACTTCTTGGACAATTACAGAATAAGCCATGTATATTAAATAATGTCCTTCAGGATGTAGGGGGTCATAGCCCTCTACATATTCTGTTTCTTCAAAACGTAAGCGATTCTATCTCTCTACACTTCATTCTTCGTCGAAAAGACAGAATAAGTTATGTTTCTTATATAATGTTCCTTCAGATGTGGGTAATTATGGCTCTTCACATATTCTGTTTTTTTTTTGGGGGGGGTTGTTATTATCTGTGAATTGCTATGACTTTTTGGACCGTCCTGGGTATGACGATAAAATACGTCCGCGTCCTGTGTAAGAAGATAAACTACGTCCAAAAGTAAGGCCTCTGTTCAGGAGGTTTTGAAGGGCGTGGAACCACCTCTTAATTGCTGGTGTTCCCAGATCCACCCTGACCCGGGGTGGTAGCACCTGTTAGGGTCTCACCTATGGGCAAATAGTTAACACCCAAACTTGGGTCAAAATACTATGAAAGTGTAAAAATACGTTTTAATACCAGAAATACTTTGTAAAAAAAATTATTACTAGCAATATATTTCTGAAAAAAAAATATTACCAGCAATACATTTTTGATAAAAGAAAAAAGAGATTACCAGCAATACATTTTTTTTTTTTTTTTTTTTTTTGCCAGCAATAAAAACTTTGTCGGCATTAAATAACTCATTGAGGTTGATATGCCGTAAAACAAACCAAACTATGACTTTTTGGAAAAGACAGCTTAAGCTATGTTTGTGATGTAATGAATATGCATACACCTAGGTTCTCCCTCACAGTAAGATGATTGGCTGGTGTCAGCCATAAATACGGACTGATGTGGAGGTACATAAGGACGCCTATTGGCCTACGCCTATTGCCGAACACTACGACAAGGACCAGTCCATTAAGGTTACCTGCTAGATTGTCCTACCCAGTTACAGTAGTCAACAACTATTTTGCTACTTCGAACAAATATATCCCTTTCCGGGACATATCAGTATGTTAAATCGTGTCCCTTCAGGATATAGGGGATCTCATCCGTTCTTCGTAATTGGTGACAATTCTGGGTCCTTTGAATATGAAATGTATTTTCATAAACACTGATTTTATATTCATTCGATGTATGTATAGCTTTTTTGTTGGGGTTGGGGGCAATGGGTATATTGAATAAATTTTCAGGCTTTCTAGCAGGCAAACACTAAAATGGCTTTTATAAATTTGATTATATCTTTCTACTCTGGTTATCAGTTATCTCTATTCTATCTCTAATTAATCTACTTAAAGTAGTTGGCATGAAACGAATTAATAGTTCTTCACTTAAAAGAGTTGCTAATCTGAACTTAACTTACTTCTCATATCAAAGACTTCAACAGTTTTCGCGAGCTTCGAAGAACAAAAAGAAACACTTCAAAACGAATAGTGAATTAAAAAAAGATGAAATCTACTTCGCCGGCTTACGGCTGCATCACGTTGAAACACCGGTTCCCGTCCGATCACCGAAGTTAAGCAACGTCGAGCTTGGTCAGTACCTAGATGGGTGACCGTTTGGAAATATCGTAAGCTTGTCGGTGCGGGTAGTGTAATGGATATTGATAATGACAATTCCAGTTGGGTTCGTTATATTCACTTACACGCATATACTCATAGGAAAAGTATGAACACCTCTTTTTCCCCTCCCTACCTATGGGTTAATTAGTGGGAATTGTATCACTAAACCATTATTATCTCCAAAAGAAATTTCTTACGATCTAACACTATTTACTGGCTTTAAATAACCTGCAAAGGGTTGATAAGCAATAAAAAACGAACCTCGTGTAACTACACCGTTCTGAATCATCAGTGCATAGGTAATGATTTAATTTTGTTCTAATATGATATAAAAAATTGAATATGAGATAGAAGTCCTCGGTATTGATTATAAACCATATGTTACTGTATGAGTCTCAGTTGCTGTTGTTGCTTTAAATAGTTATAATTCTCTGTTTGCGTTTCATCTGGCACAAGGTCTCATGATATTTATAAGATCGTATCTTCCCAAGTGGTCTCTCGTCCAAGTACTGATCAAACACACCGTTGCTTGGCAAATCACCGGGCGGAAACTGATGATTTCAACATGATCAAATCGTAAACAGCAATAATTTATATCCGCTTGTCGGGCTAAATGGGAGTGGGTATAACGTAACAATTTTATTGTGTAACACGACTTTTGTCCTTACGTAGCAAAAGTTATTTACTTTTTGGTTAGGCGCAGAAAATATGAAAAGTGACTAATACTTCCTTCTAACGTTGCTTTTGTAACCAGCGCAATGATATTTCTGAAATTTACCTATTTTCATTAGGAAAACTGGTGAATGTGAACCTTTTTAAAGCGTTTCACCTACGCAAGGCGGGAATGCCACTAGTACGCAGGGGGGTTACAAAGAGTGAAGAGAGAAAAGTCTGGGCATAGAGGGGACCGAGGAAACGATAAAACCTGAATGTAGTTCAAGAAGATAGAAGATGGCGATTGACGTTTCATTTAAATTTTTAAAGATTGTACTTATGAGGGAAGCAAGGAAAGGGAGTTTCACATGTGCAAAGTGCGAGAAAAGAAACTGTTGGAGTAAAAGTGGCGGTTACATTTAACTAATTCAACATAAAAGGGTGGGGCCTAGATGCCAATCTAGTATCACGCTTAAACACACGTAGTCTGGACACTAGGGAAAAAAACTCGTCAGAGCAGTAGCAATAAAAGTATTTGTAAAAAAGACAGATGGAAGCCACCTCACTTTGGTGAGAAAATGGCTGAAGTCGAGATGCCGAGTCAGGATCGATTACATTGCAGATCCTTCTTTGGATTTTGTCAAGAACCTCAAGATGAGTAGCAGGAGCCACTTGACCAGATATGGCAAAAGTATTCAATGCACAGCCGAATAGTAGATTTGTAAATGTGCAAGATGGACTCTGACGAGAAAAACCTTTTGGCACGGCACAGTGACTCAAAATTTCCTTCCAGTAGATGCAGCTACTGATTCGATGTTGGCGTTCCACTTCAAGTCAGTTGAGAACGTGAGACCAAGAAGGGTCAGTGTTTTGCTCTCCATTATTTTAGCCTCAGACATGCTGATGGTGGGCAAGAAAGTTTCTCTATGGTGTTTAAATGAAAGCAATTTCGTTTAGGACGCATTAAAATTTACGAACCATTTCCTGCTCCATTTAACCACTGATTGGATGTCATTTTCAAAAGCAGCAGCCAGGTTGACTTTGTCACCTCTGACGGGTTTGCTATTGAGACAGGAGTATATGTTAGTGTCATCTGCATAAATGCCTACTTGGGAACTGATGACATCCGGTAGATCATTGATCTCCCTGATGTTATCTGAACCAGCGTAGGACGTAGGATAGAGCCTTGGGGACACCTGTGTTCGTGTGAAAGGATCTGGAAGCGCACTCGTTCAAAACGGCCTTCATTTAACGATTTGATAGCAACGATTAGATTATATCAAACACATGCCCAGTAATACCCTGGTGCTGACGTGGAAGACCAGCGTGCCAAAGCATGCCAAGCGCCTTCGAGATATCTACAGCCACAGCTAGAGAATCGCCGTTATTATCAAGACCTTGACGACCGTTAGCACATCTGGAGGTAGATCTAGCAAAACGGAAGCCACAATGTTTGTCAGAGAGTAGTTTGTGCGAGGTAAACTGCTTAATCTCGTCAACATTGATTAAAGCCTCAAATACTTTGCTGAAAAGCGGTGGGAGATTAATAGATCGATAGTTAGAGGGCTCCGAAGGTTCTCCAGAGTTCTTAAAACAGGAAGTGCAGAGAAGAACTTCTAACAAGCAAGAAAACAAGAAGCAGAGTCTCAATTATTGTAGGCTTTGCAGAGAACTGAAGCCAGCTCAGGAGCACATTTCCTTAGGAAGATGGCTAGTATCCCGTCAACTCCGCTTGCCTTATGGTAGTCTAATTTAGAAATAATATCTGAGATCTGTGATAGGGTTATTCACATATCACACACTAGAGCCTCTGTTCTAGGAGGGAAATCAGGTGTGGGCACTCCAATTAAGTCGAGTGTTTATTTCGAGCAAAGCATTAGACCCTATCTGCTGTAGATCTCAATACTTTTAATTGATTGAATAGAGGAGGAATTAAGGACTTGCTGTTGTTCAGCACACTCTTACAGAGCCGCCAATATTCTCTAGAACCGAACTTGCAAGATGCTGTACGTTGTTTCATTTTATCAGCAATCAGTAACCTCGCTTCTTTCAGTACACGCTTGCACTCGTCACGCGCAGAGACAAACAGACGTCTGTAACAATCAGACGTGTCGCTCTTGTACAGGCGGAAGAAGTGATTCCTGTGGGCTATAGCGGCTGCGAATGCAGGTGAAAATGAGGAAGTTGAATGCGGTTTAACTTGGTATTTCCTTGCATCGAAGCCGGCTTTCACTCAGGAGGAGGCCTCAGACGGGCATTTAGAACAGTATAATTAAAAGCTGTATTCCAATGGACGTCACAATGGAAGTCACGGAACTAGTCCCAACCGCACGTTGATAACAGAAAGATATTCTGCTGATGAAAGGTTATTGACTGGTAGAGGACTCTGGTTCCTGCAAAGTAGGAACAAAACGACTTATGATTCAAAAATAGCATTTATTTATTCTAGGATTACACAAGAGTAACCACAAAAATTTAGAAGTGAATAGTTTTTCGCGATTTACGCTTATACTGTAAATTACTTTCGCGAGATATAGTCTCGCATTATATTTTCGTTATATTTGGTAGCAGCGTCCAAAGTTCAGTATATCCTGGTGGAAGCGCTCGCCTTGTTCCCCTGAGTACGCTCTAGTGTTCTTTAATTTACCAAGATGAGCGCCAAGGATATGGATTTTGAGGGACAATCCATTTTGCCGTAGTTCTTAAACCTCTTGATTTGTGACAAATTTATCTATCAACGACGACTTGTCTGCACTTGGACAGTTAGAAGTAAACTCAGCGCTGAATATGTCTGGAATGTAATGGAAAATAGGTTAGTTTCAAAACATAGATTTCAAGGTTATAAAAGCTTGAAGTGAATAATAACCATTTTCTTTTGCTTTCTATACAGAAGCAATTACGAAATCACACTAACTGGTCAAAGACAAAAAGAGTTAAAATTTTGATACACAATGTTATCGGCGCGGGAAGTGGGACTGGCATATTGAGTTCGAATTCTATCTAAGGCCGTTGTTTTCGCTTGGGAAACATAAATCCATCTCTTCTTTGTCTTAGTAGCTAGATTATGGTTTAGTAGCAGAACTAACTTAACTTTGATTGACAACCAGTCTCTGAGAAGGACAACTTTGTATTCAAAAGCGATTGTCTAGCAAATCCACCTATTAAAAACAGACTTGCAAGTGATAACCACAGCAGCAATAGCTAAGACACATGGTTAACATCAAATGTGATACAAAGCTACAATTGTCAGGCACCAGGCGAGGATTGAACACACTATGCAGTAGCAATATTCTTCTTGAATTAACTCGCTTGTCTTTCATAATGATATGTTGATTTTCAAAGTGTAGCTTAGATGTGACTTAATACCGAAAGTATGAAGAACCCAGTGAGGATCGAATTCACTATTCATTTGTAATTCATCTAGCGAGACAAGCTTGCTAACCATTACACCAAGTCGAAGTGCCTTATGGCGATTTTCCAAGCGTAGCTAAGATGTGGCACAAGGCCGAAAATATGGAGCACCCTGTGAGGATTGAACTCAGAACTCATTCGTAATTGACCTAGCGAGACAGGCTTGCTAACCATTACACCAAGTCGAAGTGCCAATATGGCGATTTTCCAAGCGTAGGTAAGATGTGGTACAAGGCCGAAAATATGGAGCACCCAGTGAGGATTGTACTCAGAACTCATTCGTAATTGATCTAGCGAGATAAGCTTGCTAACCATTATACCACGTCGAAAAGGCTCGATTTGCTAAACGAAGCTTAGATGTGGCACAAAGCCGAAAGCATAGAGCACCCAGTGTGGATCGAATTCATTATTCATTCGTAATTGACCTGGCGAGATAATCTTGCTAACCATTTACACCACGTCCAAGTGCCCAGATGATTTTCTAAGCGTAGTTTAGATGACACAAGGCCAAATTGAATGATTTTCTAACTGAATACAGACAACGTTAGTATTAGTTAAAATAATTTGCTTTATTTATTTTTATCATATGGTATTATTTGTTTAGTCTAAGGAGTCCATCGAGAATAGATGATGACTCAACCTAGCTACTGGGGCGGTTGAGGAAACGCATGTTTCCGTGTTGCTCTTTTTCGTCAAGCTTTTGAACTTTTTTTTTTTCAAAATAGTTCGCTGGGTGCCTTACACAGATAGGTGTGGCCGAGCTACAGTAATCCTCTCTTTCTACTCCTACAATCCCAGGGCACACAAGTGTATGACGTCTGTGGAGAGAAAGCAAACGATAAGAGATGTCAAATAATACCAGATAGTACTCATTTATTAACTGCTTTCTGGTCCGACGGGGATTCCTTCTGTCTTTTCTACAAATATTTTCATTGCTACTGCT